GGGCACCCGGGCCCAGTTAGGATGCTCTGTGTCTACTGTGCGTGCCTGTAGGAATATAATCAGGCCCTTCTGGGGGTCTGCCCAAGGTCAGAATGGGCCCGAAGTGAGAGTGGGATGTAATGGGAACTGTCTGTGAGGGCACCAGCGAGGTGCCGTGGACGCAGGTGACTGGAGCCAGACTGGGCTTCTCCAGTCTAACCGTCTGAGGTTCGTGTCATGCACGTACAGGTGTGATTAAAGAAGGCTCAATGGAGCCTATCCGTGGGCCCCTTTTCACTCAGCAGAATGCTAGTTTTATGATTCTGACCGTTGAGAAGGGGCAGTGGGAATAAAAGCAAGTAGACCAAGGCACACCCTCTTTAGCGCTGGCCTTCCAGGGGGGCGCGTCGCTTTACTGCTTGTGGGTAAGACCCACCTTGAAGACTAAGGGCCCAGGGGGAGCTCCCTGCTGGCCAGTGGAGAACAAGCCAGTAATTGACCGCGAGCCCGCCGGCAGGTGCAAGGACACAAGCCGGCCGCCAAAATCCCGAGCTGGGGCCGGGGGGCGGGGGGGTAGTGGGGGGCGGCCTGGGGGGACCCCAGCAGCCGGCGGGCGGGCAGCGGCACTCGCGTGGGGGGGCCCCTCCCCGGGGCTGTTTGGGACCCTGGGCGCGCCCCGGGGCCGGGGGAGGATCGGGGGAGGGCGGGGAGGATCGGAGGAGGGGGACGAGCCGGAGGGGGAGGGCCGAGCCGCCCGCCGCCAGCCCCGGCCCCGGCGCCCCGCCGGCCGCAGTAAAGTGAAAGGGGCGGCGGGGCCGGCTGGGCCTCCGCGCGCCGCCCCAGGAAGTCGCGAGCAGGAAGCGCCCGCGGCGGCCGGCTCGGGCCGCGGCGCAGGTGAGGCGCGGGGACAGGGACGGGGCGGGGAGAGCGACGCGGGGACGCTCCGCACCGCCTGCACCCGCCGGGCCGCCGGCCTCGAGCTTTGCGGCCGCGCCGCACCTGCCGCGGCGGGGCGGGTCCCTGCGCTCCGGCCGTCCCCCGCCCCGCCGGCCTTTGTGCTCGGCCTGGGCCTGGGCCGGGGAGTCTCGACTCCTGCCTTGCCTCCGGAGGGGCCGGAGCGGAGCGGGGATCCCCGGCGAGTGGAATCAGGGGCGAGCTGAGCGGTCCTGCGAGCGCCCCTCCCCACCCGGCCCCGGCCGCGGTGACAGCGGGGGTCCGGGGAGCCCGCGGGAGGAGCCCCGCGCCTTGGCAGCCGCGCGCCGGGGACGTGGGCGTGCCGCCGAGTCCGCCTCCCCCGGGGACCGGCCGCCGGGGAGGAGCCGGCGCTGAAAGCCGTCCGGGAGCCTCGGGGCGCTGGCGCTCTGGGCCTCTGGGCTGTTTGTTGCGCAGGTGGCTCCCCGGAGCTCGCGAGCCTCCCGGCCGACAGAGTGACAGCATCCTTGTGGATCGATAGGAAAGCGCCCCACCTGCCCACCTCCAACCATCCGGCTCCTTTTTCCTCTTTCCCCCACCTTCCGGCGCTCCCAGCCCTAGCAGCCACGCCGCCCCTCCTGGTGACCCGGTGACCCACGGGACCGTCCGGATTTGCATTTGAACGGAGGACACCGGCAAGCTCCTTTTCCCAGCCCCCAGGTTTGCATTTCTAAAGGTGGAATTCCAAAGCCAGCCTCTCCTTCCGTCTCCTGGGGCTGGGAGCTGGCCCCTGGCAGCTGGCTGCGGGGAGGGTGCCTCCTGCCTGGGACCAGAAATTGTGGGAAGTTGAGTTGGTAACTGTTAGATTTTCTCCCAGGCTCCTTCCTTGGTCTCCCTGTAGGTCAAGACTCCGGACCTTAAGTGTCTCACCATGTAGTCTTGGGCCCCCATCTGCAGGTTCTATTTTGTGCATTCCCTTTGACGTTCAGTGTGTTGGTGGGGGAGAGGACAGTGGTGCAGATGGAGGAGTCCTTTTTGTGTTTAAACCACAGGAAAGAGATAGTGGCCACTGTCAGTAATGTTTAATATGGAATAGAGCCTTTAAAGTACAAACCATAGAAAGTATTTTCTCTCAAAAGGTGGTTGTATTCATTCTCCCCCTACCCCATTCTCTCCTCTCTCTGTCTTTCCAGGAAAAAGAAATAACTTTTTGGGGGGACATGCTCCTCCCAGCCAACTTTGCCTTAAAATAAGATCCACTTTAGAAACTCTGTCTTTAAGCAGATCATTTAAAATCTGCACAGGGCTGCTGAGATGATTCACAGCAGCATTCCATTCTGGGAAGACCATTTTCAGTGTTACTTGTGCCAAGACTTTCTCTCAGTCTTAACTCTTGTTGGAAGAGTGCAGGGAGCTGCTCTGGGTGGCGGGTCCCCCGCGGACGGCCCGAGGGCACGGCTCAGGGAGTGAGTGTTTGTCTCCGGTCATTCCTCTTCTCTTTGCCTGGCTGGGGCTCTTTCAGAAGATGGGTATAAAAACGTGCCTCTTAGGATTTTGACTGAGCTGCTCTGGGAGGCGGGTGGGAGCTGAAGTCCCTGTCTGATGGTAGAATGACACTGGATGGTGTGACTTCTCTCCTGGATCGGTGAGTCCCAGAAGCCCCTATAAAGAGCGACTAGGGAAAAAAGTATGTCTTCTTTGCAATTGGGCTGTACACCCAACACAGGGTGGCAAGCAAGTGCCCCGCCTCGTTCCCCTGTGCTCTCCGGAGGACACGGGACAAGCCGGAGGAAGAGAGGGAGGTCGGGGCTGAGAGAATGTTGACCTGAATTTGCCCAGTGTCCGGCCCACCGGGCAAGCTGCCTGTCCTCGTCGGAAGGGAGTGCCATGCCTCACGGCGGACCTCACAGGGCTTGGCGGGCTCTCCATGCGATTCAGTCGGTGCTTCTCTGGGGCCACTGCCCGGGTTCTGGAGGAAGGAGCCTCACTAAATTGAGCTCTTAACATCCCACATGTAAAATCACTACCTTTACGCAGCTTAACAGCACTTCTCTGAGAATTACTGTACTTGCTTTCACCCATTTCACAGGGGAAGCCCCTGCAATTGTTTTAAAAAAGAAATTGAGATTGTCTTCCCCTGCTGATTTCCAGGGCCTTCTGGATTTTTTTGTTAAATTACAGGTTTTACCACAATTGAGGTTGATTGATTGAGTGATTCAGATGGCAATAGAATATTCCTAGACAAGCCACACCTAGTGGACAGAGGAAGAAAGTGGACTCCGACCACCCATTTTCAGACACTGAAAAACTTAAATCCTTTACTCTGAAGTCACCGTCACAAAATTGTTTCTCAAAGTATATGGAGGCCCAAAGAGGACCACACTCATTTTGAGCAGAGTTTTAGTAAAATATTCTTTAAGTCTAGATTTTGAGCAGAAACATCTTTGAAGCATTTGCGGAGACTGGTTTAACATCTCTGGAGCACTTGCTCTGTGCCGAGTTTGAACCTAAGTCTTGGGAATGGGGCAGCCACCTGCAGCCCGGGCTCCCTCTCTAGCTGCTATTTACAGAGCTGCTTCCACCCACCAGGCCCTGGTGCTAAGGGCTTTCCATGGATGATTTCCTTTCCTCTTCCTAAGAACCCTAAAATGTAGGTGCCTGAGGTCAGCCACGGCAGTTGGCCGGGGGGCGGGGTGGGGGGAGCAGCAGGCTGGCTGGCTGGCCGAAGCAAAGGTCTAGTTCTGGCTGGGGCACACATGCCTCCCTGAGAGAGATGGAGGGGTCAGGGTCAGGGGTCCTGGGATGAAAACACCCCAAGGATTTTGACTTTTTTGCTAAAGCATGCAGGGAGATCCTTGAAGAAGGCGCAGTGTGTGGAGTGGGGAGGGCTGGAATGAAGGGGGGGCGCCCAGGCTCTTAGGAATTTAGCTGGAGCCTTCCAACAGAGCTATTTGCTTTGCTTGTCTATAACCTCAAAGAAGTTCTTTGAAGACATTAAAAAATTTCAGCAGGTTTAAATTGAGATGAATGTTTACTCAAAAGTAGCTTTTTTAAAAAAAAAAAAATCATATAACCGGTGAATTTTCAGTAAGTATTAAGGCAGCACGAGCTATGCTCCTGCATGCACGGGATTTGCATTTTGCATTTGCATAGTGTTATCTAATACATTGGTCCAAAAGATTCCATGTTGCCAAGCACAGAGGACAGACTGAAAAATACCACGTCCTGAGGTTGGCTTTGCGACAGGAGACCAGGCCTCCCTGCCCATTCCTTCCCGTCTTGCTCTGCCTTCGGCCCTGACTTCGGAATGGGGTCATTTCCCATGACCTCTGAGTGACCACAGGAGATGAGGTATCAAGAGGCAGAAACACAGTCAGGTACCTTCCCACTGCAGGAGATGCATTTCATTTCATTTGCAAGGCCACAGTGAAATGATTGGTTTGCTGACCTGCCATCTTGCCCAGGCCCGTGTGCCTCTCTGTTAGTGTGGCTCAGCGTGGCCTGGTCCACAGGGGGTGGAGTTGAGCGTGTCCCGTTCCCTGGCATGCTCTGGCAATTGAGCACATGGTGTAACCACTGGGCACATTACTGGTTTCACATGAATATTAATATCAGTTCCATAGAGTATTGTGGTTGAGAGTGAATGGGATGATCTGTACATGTCTCCCAGATGGAGAGGGACTCTGGGTCTCTCTATTCCTCATCAGAGCACCAGGTGGAATTCATGTCTGTGATTTTTGAGCAAGCCGTCCCCGAGGGTAGACACTCTACCTCCACCCAGTAGCTCTCATGGGGGGCAGTTCCCTGTCGAGCTGGAAGCCCCGCTTTGATCTGGGCTGGCTGACACCTGCACTGGATGTTACTTCTGCCAGGGACTCCCACAGCGTCCCTCTTGGGACACCTGACTTTTCCATTCCTCATTCTCCTTGTAGAGAGCCAAGCCTCTGCCCGAAGGAAGAGGGCAAGTGAGACCCTGCAGGACACCTTGACGCACCTTCCGGTCCGCAGGAGCTGCAGGGGCCAGAGAGAAATACTTGGAACCAGGGTTGATCACCTACGCATGAAGCATCTTCTCTTGTGACCAGAGCTCCGTGGTCTGTGCAGTGTAAATGGCTCCACTCCCGCCCGGCATTCGCTTCATCATCTCATTCTCCCGGGATCAGTGGTGAGTGTTGGCTCGTCAGTCCTGTGGCCCGGTGCTGCGTGGAGGTGCGGGCCCTCGCGCACCCTATGTCATTATATAACATGCACGCAGATGCCTGGCCTCCCTGTGTGACTGTTGAATGGCTTATCAGTGGTGGCAACGTTGCTAAGTTGTCCTCTGTCTTTGGTTTTCAGTAGTTTCTATAATAATCACGGTGTCCCCAGAAAAATGACCACTGGCTACTGGCAGGATTATAAAATGGCTGTGGGGGAGATAAGTATATGAACCCTGAGCCCAGTGAGTGGCTGAGCTGGGGCAGAACTTGCTGAGAGAAAATGAAATCTAAACAAGTTAGATGCAGACCAGAACACCGCTTCCTGTTCTGAGAGCAACCTCACCTCGCATGCTCTGACAGCCCTTCTCACCATGGGTTCAGATCTCCCACCCTCCTTAGAGGAAGAAGAGGGCGAGGGCAGGGTCTAGAGCCAGCTTCTCCATCCTCGAACCCACCCTCTTAAAAGTTCCTCTTCCCTGTTGATCTCTACTGGGAAGGAGTAAGTTTTCCTCTATCCTCTTGGGCTCTTTCCTTAGGGGCATGCAAATTAAACTACTACAGAAAAACAGATGTGATCACGTATGTAGGGGAGGTCACCGAAAAATGTGACTCCGAGGGCTTATCTGCCATCTTAATAAGGGAAAAGGAGGAGGAGAAGGGCATGCATGGAAAAACAAATGACTTTTTGAAAAGGTTAAATGGGCCCCTCTGGGAACAGATGGGAGACAAGATAGTGCTGTGGCAGCCTCCGTTTAGGTGTGCTGGGGATTCTTCTCATTTCCAGTAAGAAGAGTCTTCTTCCCTGGTTACCCCCAGGGAGGGGTTTATGACACTTGAGTTCTTCTAGGTGGCTGTGCTTTTAGGCAGATGAGAAATTTCAGGAACTCAAATGCCTCCCACTCAAAATCGTTCATGGTACACATAGTGGCATATTCTGGATCCCTTCATCTCTGCCATGACAACCCACTTGTGGCTGCCACACTCTTATTTGCTTCTCAGGCTCCTGCTGGTTGGTGGGCACCCACAGGGCCTCAGGTGTGACTGCAGACCCCTGCCTCCCTTCCAGAGCAGTTCCCTTGTCATTTCATGTCTACCCGTAACCTGGCCACAAGGTTTAGACACTTACCTTTCGATCTAGTGGGTGCTGACCTTCAGTTTCCTTGTCTGTTTTGTAACTTTATTTTGATACAATTTTCAAAATCACAGAAGAAAATTGTAAGAATATCACAAAGAACTCCATGGAACTCCTGTATATCACAAATCCTTTCTTTCTTTCTTTGGTTGAGGCACTGGTGGAGCAGGGCTTCTCACACTTTAGTACACATGTGCATCCCCGCCCCCCAGGACTTGTTAAAATGCAAATGCTTACTCAGGAGGTCTGGGGTGGGGCCTGAGAATCTGCATTTCCCAGGGGATGCAGTGCCCTGGATCCACAGACCACACTCTGGCTAGCAAGGATATAGAGTATGTGTTCCATCTCTGCCTCAGACTTGCTCTTTGACCTTTACTTTCTAGATCCCAGCTTCCTTCCCTGTAAAGGGAGAGAGTTGGCTTTAACATTTCTTTGAAGGGCTTTATATCTTTTTCCCAGCAGGCCTTGCCCTTCCTAACAACGTCTTGATTTCCTTTGGGGACCTGACTTCCCTCCTTTTTGTGCAGTTGTGGGACTGATGCAGGCTGGCCGGGTGGAGGTGACCCAGAGGAGGGCCCCGCGGGACCAGCCAAGAAGGCCCTCGGCTTCATGCAGGATAGAAATCAGACGTGAACCTAGAGGGAAGTAAGAACAGAGTCTATTAAAGATACAGAGAGAGTGTAGATCCAGACAGAGCGTTTGGGAGACTCAGAAAGGAAAGAAGAGTGAGTCTCGTGTTTGCTTGGGGCCTGGGGTTTTTATTGATGATGGTCTGGCGCCCGTGTCTCCCCCTTGATCCAGGAACAAAGACAAGTGTTCAGCTGTCCTCCAAAAGTCACTTATGCCCTGGAGCCAGGGGTCTTGGTGAGTCTGTGGTCTTGGAAAAGTTCATGACGACTCCACCCAGTCACTCCTTAGATGTTCTCTGTTGTGCTGGAAGACTCCAAAGAAATCATTAACTCCTTGACGTTTACAAGGAGGACTTGTTATCTGTTCTGTGACAGATGTGTAAGGCGGGGATGTAGGTCCTAGCAAAAACAGACGCAGGAAAGAGCGAGAAAAACAGTTTTTTATGGGGTTCCTTTAGTTTCCCTATCTCAGTAGGTGGGTAAGTCTCAGGACTTTGGGGTTCATTATGGCGGCCAACGGTGGCTCCGGAGGCCCTGTTACCATGACCTTTCTCCTTAGCCCACATCCCCCAGGAAGCAGACTAGGACCCTGGGTGGGCTACGGGTCTCTCTCCTGGGATGTTGAGTCTTGAGTAGAATAAACCTAGGGTAGAGGGACTATTGAATGCAGCCAGTCCAGCTGGGGGCCAGGGCTCAGCTAGCAGACACACCTTCACATTCTGCCTCATTTGCTTCTCCCTCCACCCTCTGTGTGTGTGTGTGTGTGTACATCTACACACACGTTTTTTTCTGAATCATTTGGGAGTCAGTTGTAGGCATTATGCCCTTTTATTTCTAAATAGGTTAGTGTATTTCCTATGAATAAGACATTCTCCTATAACTGTGCCTGAAGGTCAGAATCAAGAAATATAACATGATGTAATACCATGATCTAATCCACAGTCCATATCCAGAAGTTATATCAGATGTCCCATAATGTCTTGTCCAGTGTCCCCTGGTCCAGGACCCCATCCAGAATCACATGTTGTCTTCAGTTGTCCTGTGGGTTTAGTCTCCTTTAATCCGAAACTGCCTCTTGGCCTTCCTTTGGCCTTCATGACCTTTAACATTTTTGAAGAATACCAGCCATTTATTTTGTAGACTGCCCCTTGTTTTGGGTGTCTAGTTAGTATTTCCTCTTGATTAGATTCAGTTAACGTTCTTTTGTCAGGAACACCACAGAAGGGAGATAACTTCTCACTGCTGGGTGAAGGAGCTACGAACGTGGGTGGCAGGAGGGGCTGAATGGGTCAGGTGCTGTTGGCTTGGAAATAACGTGATCAGGAAGTGCTGGAGAAATGGATACATATGGTTCTGCTCTGTGTTTGATGTGTGTGTGTGGTCTGCGTGTGTGTGTGTGGTGTGTGTTGTTTTTGATGTGTGTGGTGTGTGTGTGTATATGGTGTGCGTGTGTTTGATGTGTGTGATATGTGCGGTATATATGTGGTGTGGTGTGTTTGTGTGTGTGCATGTGTGTGTTATGTATGTTGCATGTGGGTCACGTGCCCTACCCCCCGCCTGCTCAGAGGCCGTGGGAACAGCAACACTCAAGTGGCGGTGAGCACCATGCAGCCGGATCTTGGTCTCTATGTGCCGTCTCCCATGGAGGGAGCCAGGCTTCCTTGGAGACTGGGCCGATGTCAGGGCTGGGGCAGCAGGCAAAGTAAGATGAGCCGGGAATATCTGGTACCAGAAAATAAGGAGGTGCTTGAAAATGAAGGGGCTCTCACTGGCTAAGTCTAGAGTGACTTGAGATTTAACACAAATGATACTAGTGATGGATTAGCCCGTTGAATAAAATAACCTCGTGAGCGCGCACTGCTGTAAATAAGTGTGTGCACAAGGGGGAGAAAGGAAGCCCCCCCCCGCCCCAGTGGATCCCTGCCGCTGAGTAGAGCCGCAGGGCCTGGCTGGCCTGCTCCCGTTCCGTGACCGTCAGAAGCACACACTGTGGGGGAGACTGGAGGACAGGATAACCGTGTGGGCTCCACGTATGTCCCCACAGACTGCATATTAATTACACAGGGGAAAAAGTGTCGCTTCCCTGAGGGGCGGACAGGGGCAGAGAGCCCCTTAACCAAGTGGTCAGTGCCAACGTCACTGACATCCTGTCTCTGCTTTAGGATGCTCTGGAAAGGACTCACATCATAGCTGTGTGTGGTTTCCTTGTTCCCAAATTAAGGATGTCTTTGGACTAATTTCTATGCCAGATCCTAGTGCCCAGTTACTCTTCATCTAAAGCATTTGTTTCTCCTCATTTGTATATGACTCCGATAAATAACACCCCAGCAAGGAAACAGATACTGTGCCCTGCATCGCTCAGGTTGAGGCAGGTTGCTGTTCATCTGGGGGCACGTGCGATGTTCAAGAACATGTCTAAGGAGACCCTGCGGGTGCACACCTGTCCTGGGCTGGCATTGCCGAGATGTGCTTTTGTTGTGCTAGAAACTTCACGTTAACCCCAGCGCTGGTCTTGTCGTGCTTGTAGATGCGAACAAGGCTACCCCCAGACATAACCACAGAGTAAGTGGCACGCCGAGGAGCGAAAGGGTTCAGTAGCTCACCTGTAATTGTACGTGTTTAATGTTTCCAAGCCTAAATGTGACACCGAACAAAAATACAAGTGTCGGCTTGCATTTGTGTCCTGAGGCTGCTGTAACAGCCCCGCACACAACAGAAGCTGGAAGTTAAGAGACCCAGGCATCGGCGGGGCTGCGTGTCTCTGAAGGCTGCAGGGAAGGATCCCTCCTGCCTCTTCCAGCTTCTGGGGGTGGCTGGCGGTCCTTGGCCTTCCTTCCTTATCTTGGCTCTGCCTCCGCAGTCACTTGGCCGTCTTCCCTGTCTGTCCCTGCGTCTTCATACGGCCTTTATAGGGACGTCAGTCATTGGATTTAGGATCTCATGTGATCTGAGGTCATACATGGGTTCAGTATGGCCTCATCTTAACTAATTACATCCACAGGACTCGATTTCCAAATAAGGTCACGTTCTGATGGACTTGAATTTGGGGGGCACAGGATTCAACCCAGTGCAAAATGGATAATAGAAAACAAATATCATCCACAATTCTGCTTCATAAAGGATATAGGAAGACAGAAAATGAGGTTAGAATTAATTACAAAGTGGGAGAAAGAATCAGGAAGGTTGTGTAGGACTTTGGTCCCATAACCCCGGGTAATCCCACAGAAGTGAAATGTCTGCTCAGTCTCCAGGACAGGTAAATTGACACGGCTGCTGTGGTCAGACCTTCTGGAGGGGAACAGTCAGCCTGGGCTGCTGGCTCTTCCCCCCACCCCCCAAATCCCATGTAAGCAAGATGAGGAAAGGAAGGGAGGAAGGACAGATTTGGAAATAGGGGAACTAGAGTCGGCCCTGATACTGGCTAAATAGATAGCGTTTTCCTGTTTAGGAGACGTAGGTTCTGTCTCCAGGGAAATTCTAGTATACTGTGTAGGTTCACCCGTTGCCCTGACTTCGGGACAGCTTCTCCCAGAGAGCCCTGCCAACCTGTAGGCAGTTACCTGCCCCAAAGAGGCTGATTCATCAAGGAAAGTTCAGTTCAGTCTGGAACCATGCACTGCCCCCTCTGTGGCCCCTTTACTCATGGGGCGTCCCCCAGCAAGGGACAGTCAGGGGACCCTCCTTCATCCCACTGGGCCCTGCACTGGTGAGAGCTACATGTGGAGATGCCCGTTAGGGAAGGAGGCAGCAGCCTGGGGAATGAACGTGGAGGCCCAGGGAAGGAGGATGGCAGCCCAGAGGTGGAGGCTGGAGGCCCAGGTGGGCCACTAAGTCCCGATAACCTAGGCAGACTTTACCATCTAGGAATGCACATGTATCAGGGCCCCTGGGGCTCTTCAGACATGATCTGGACACACAGAGGAGCTCTTTATTTCTGGGCTTATTTATTCTATTTAATAAATATGTTAATGTCAATAAGGATCAACTATTTGTGCATAGAATATTCTATTTATGTCTGGTTTGAGACTAGAGAGCATGAACCCAAGGCCCATTGAAGTTGAGCCACTCTCTCAAAATCCTTACGTGGGTGATGATGAAATTCACATTCTCCGGTTGATAATACACCTGTGAACAGGTGTCATGTAGCATCCTCGAGGGCTCCAGATTCTTCTCTGAGACTCCGATCTGGGAGGTGCGGGGGCTGACTCAGTCCCAGAACTTTGTTCATGCTCCTTGTGGAGATTGCAGAAGGGAACCCTGTGCCCAGGCGGGGTCGGCTCAGGGACCCCACAGAGCTGGAGCCCTGCCTTGTGCCCCTCTGCTACCTGTACCTCCGCCGTGGGTGACTGTCCACTCGCGCAGGCACTCTGTCTGAAAGTCACTGGCCTTTTCAGGCCAGAAACAGGCAGGTTCTTCGGCGGTAAGGGCTGTGCCTCCTGAAACGGGGGGCCGGCCTTGCCTTCCTGGGGGGGCCCTGCTCTCCTCTCTTGCCACGCTTCCGGATGACCTCTTTTCTTCTGCAAGAAGTACTTTTCTAGAGAGTGGTTCAAACTTTGAGGCTGGAATGAACCTTTCTCTTCTTGCCCAAGTATCTTCTTTTCTCTAGTCTCCGATTCGTTTCAGTCTTACTCTTGGGCTGTTTTTCGCATAAACCGAGAAGAGCAGCAGGGCCTTAGGCCAGGCTTTCTTATGCCATCAGCCTTGTTCATAGCGTGTCTGCGTCACTGACTTTCTCATGGAGGTCAGGGAGATATTTATATTCCTGCCTTGCATGTACCTTTCGAAAAAGTTGCACAGAAGCTAAAAGTAAAAAATAGATAGGATCTTAAATGCCCAGGATATGGGCTTACAAGAAATTTGCAGTTAATTCTCTTACAAACCAGTTAATGGTTTCTTTCTGTCTACTTTGTGAACTCTGTTCACTTCTGCGTCCCAAATTTCTCTTTGATTATGGTTATTTTTTTTAAAGAATATTTAAACAGTTTCAATTGCACAAAGCAAAAGTGGCAAAATTTTTAAATGTAGTATTATGGTGATGTTGCAAATAGGATAAATAATTGATATAGGACTAAGTGAATAATACACAGCCTAAGACAATTTAAAGTACAGTTATAATGTATTGTTTGTTTTTTTAATTTATTTATTTTAATCATGATAAGTGCACTCCTCCTTAATCCCCATCACCTAGTTCACCCCTTCCCCTGCCTACTTTCCCTCTGGTAACCATCACTGTGTTCTCTAGAGTTATGAGTCTGTTTCTTGGTTTGTGTGTCTCTCTCTCTCTCTCTTTTTTTTTCCCCTTCACTCATTTGTTTTGTTCTTAAATTCCACATATGAGTGAGATCATATGGTATTTGTCTTTCTTTGACTTTTTTCACTTAGCATAGTACTCTCTAGATCCATCCATGTCATTGCAAATAGCAAGATTTCATTCTTTTTTAGGGCTGAGTAATATTCCATTACACACACACACACACACACACACACCACTTCTTCTTTATCCATTCATCTCTCTGTGGATACTTGGGCTGCTTCCATTATCTTGGATACTGTAGATAACACTGCTATAAATGTAGGGATGCACGTACCCCTTTGAATTTGTGTTTTTGTATTTTTTGTGTAAATACCCAGTAGTGCCAATACTGGATGGTAGGGTAGTTTTATTTTTAACTTTTTGAGGACCCTCCATACTGTTTTCCAGAGTGGCTGCACCAGTTTGCATTCCCACCAACAGTGTAGGAGGGGTCCCCTTTCTCCGCATCCCCGCCAACATCTGTCATCTCCTGACTTGTTAATTTTAGCCATTCTGACAGGTATGAAGTAGTATCTCATTATAGTTTTGATTTGCATTTCCCTGATGTTGAGTGATGTTGAACATCTTTCCACGTGTCTGTTGGCCATCTGTATGTCTTCTTTGGAGAAATGTCTGTTCATGTCTTCTGCCCATTTTTGAATTGGATTGTTTGTTGTTTGGTGTTGAGTTGTATACATTCTTCATATATTTTGGATACTAACCTTTTATCAGGTATGTCATTTGCAAATATCTTCTCCAATTCAGTAGGTTGTCTTTTAGTTTTATTGATTGTTTCCTCGGCTGTGCAGAAGCTTTCTATCTTGATGAAGTCCCAATAGTTTATTTTTGCTTTTATTTCCCTGTCTCAGGAGATATATCTAGAAGGATGTTGCTATGGCCGATGTCAGAGAAAGTACTGCATGTGCTCTCTTCAAGGATTTTTATCTCTTCAGACCAATATCTCTCATGAATATAGATGTGAAAGTCCTCAACGAAATATTAGCAAACCAAGTCCAACGATATATCAGAAAAATCATGTATGACAATCAGGTGGGATTAATTCCTGGGATGTAAGGGTGGCTCAATATTCAAAACAATCAACATGATACATAACATCAATAAGAGAAAGTTTACAAACCTTATGATCATTTCAGTAGACGCAGAAAAAGCATTTAACAAAGTACAACACCCATTCATAATGAAAACTCTCAACAAAGTAGGTCTAGAGGGAACATACCTCAACATAATAAAGGCCTTATATGAAAAACCCACAGCAAACGTCATACTCAATGAGGAAAAACTGAGCTTTTCCCCTAAGCTCAGGAACAAGACAAGGATGTCCACTCTCACCACTGCTACTCTACACAGTACTGGAAGTCTTAGCCTCAGCAATCAGACAACAAAAAGAAATAAGAGGCATCCAAATTGGTAAGGAAGAAGTAAAGCTCTCTCTATTTACAGATGACATGATATACTCTGTATAGAAAACCTGAAAAGACTCTACCAAAAAAACTGCTAGAGCTGATACATGAATTCAGTAAAGTCACAGAATACAAAATTAACAGTCAGAAATCTGTTGCATTTCTATACAATAATAATGAAGCAGCAGGAAGTGAAATTAAGGAAACAATCCCATTTACAATTGTACCAAAACCAATAAAATATCTAGGAATAAACTTAACCAAAGAGGTGAAAGACCTATACTCTGAAAACTATAAAACCCTGATAAAAGAAATTGAAGATGACACAAAGAAATGGGAAGACATTCCATGCTCATGCATTGGAAGAACAAATATTGTTAAAATGTCCATACTACCCAAAGCAATCTATAGATTCAATGCAATCCCTATCAAAATGCCAACAACATTTTTCACAGAACTAGAACAAACAATCCTAAAATGTGTGTGGAACCACAAAACCCCCCAAATAGCCAGAGCAATCTTGAAAAAGAAAAACAAAACTGGAGGTATCACAATCCAAGATTTTAAGATACACTACAAAGCTGTAGTCATCAGAACAGTATGGGACCGGCACAAAAATAGACACATAGATCAATGGAACGGCATAGAGAACCCAGAAATGGACCCGCAACTCTATGGTCATCTAATCGTCAACAAAGGAGGCAAGAATATGCAACAGGAAAAAGACAGTCTCTTCAACAGATGGTGTTGGGAAAACTGGACAGCCACATGCAAAAGAATGAAACTGGACCACTTTCTTACACCATACACACGAATAAATTCAAAATGGTTGAAAGACCTAAATGTGAGACCTGACACCATAAAAATCCTGGAAGAGGGCACAAGCAGTAACTTCTCTGACATCAGCCCTGGCAACATTTTCTAGATAGGTCTCCAGAAGCAAGGGAAATACAATGTGTTCTTACTGCATCTTATATTATTTTATGTCATCCCCTACCTCTGTTTTGTGTTTCAGGTACAGAGCCTTCATTTTTATTTTGACATTTTTGCTGTATGCAAGTTTCCACTTATCCCGAAAGCCTATCAGCATAGTTAAGGTAAGAAATCATAAAAAGCACCCCATTTCATATCCTGCCTGTAATTTCTATGAGGAACTGGTAATTACTTTAGGAGCCATTTTGGGAGTGGGGGAAGGGGTGGGGGGAGGGTGGTGAGATAAATGGAGAAACCAGATGGTTTAGAAGCAAGTTATCGTGCTTTGATTGTTCGTTTCTCTTCTCTGAAACAAAAATCTTTGACATACTTTTAGGGTTTTATCATTTTAGAGGTGATATTATATATATATATATATATATATACACATATATCAGTTATATTAATTGATAGCTGCAGAATTCTAAAGCTTAATTAAATATTTATTCTGTGAATTTTCCCTCTGAATATATCCAATCTTAAATTGTTCCCCAAAGTGCCTCTCCTGTCATTGTGCTCTGATTCTAAGTCTGGCTGTGGTGGTGGCTCTCTATTATTCTTAGAACCCCGAGCTTCTGTTTGAGTGATGGGTGAGCAGGAAGTTGCTCAGCAGACATTTAACTACACTTTGAGAAAAGAAGATTAAAGTAGACAATCGTACATGATAGCCAGTTATAACTGGGGAAGAAGCAGGATAATTTTCTTACTCTCATTGGAATGACATCATTTTGCTTATAGACTTTGAAAAAAGAAGATTAAAGTAGACAATCCTACCTAATAGCCAGTTATAACTGGGGAAGAAGCAGGATAATTTTCTTACCCTCATAGGAATGACATCATTTTGCCGATAAACTCTCAACAGGCTTTTGACTTTCAATTGTAGAAGGAACAAGGAAATTGTCCGGTGCCAAAGAGTGCTTATTTACAGCCCGATTGCCCCCTCCCTCACCTAGTTGTGGGCAGGGCACTGTAATTCTGACCACTGTGGCCACGCTTCCTCCAATCCCACCGAGTGGTTGAGTGCTGGCCTCAGTCTTCAAGCCAATGGGAGAGGCAATGCCAAGCAAGGCTGTTGCTTCTATGGACAGTTTTGTACTCCCCATTCTCCAGTAATGCCCAGTGGATGTTAAATAGCATCCATCTATGCAAAGGATCCTACAATTCCTCCTTGACCTCTAGTAAGCCTTCCATGCCCTCCATGGAGGAGACTGTTGGAGAGGTCCCATTGAGCACCGTGGGGCTGAAGGAGCAGGAGTTATTGGGAGCCTGCTGGGGTTTCAGCTTGGGATCAAGCTTGGATGGGGGAGGTGGACGCCTGGAGTAGCAGATGGAGGATGGGCCCTCACCGTGAAGCCCCAGCCTGGTGGGCAGAGGCTCTGCTGGGACACAGGCAGTGTGGGGAAGGCGGGCTGGCCATCGGAGGATCTTCGTGGCAGGACAGGACACTTGGATTGGATGCGATATTGTGAGGGCCTTGTGTAGCCAGGAATGGATGTAGCAGTGCTGTAGGGCACCCTCCCAGCTTCCCTTTGGGAGCTTGGGGCTTACTGATGGGCGGTGTCACGCTGAAGCAGGGTCCCATCGGCTCTTCTGGAAGCATTCTCTCAGTCACAGGGCTTGCTGAAGCCCATGGCGCGGCATGGTGCACCTGCTCATTTAATGGAGTCCTCTCAGCGGCCAGGGACTCAGGCGCACAATCCCCTCCTGCAGGGCAGTGCAAGCTCCGGTGAACTGGGCAGGGTCTCTGCTCTCAAGCTCTGTGCCACGGGGTCTGCAGGGTATTGAATTACCCAAGTGTATCCACAGCCCCACAGCCGGATCTTCTTCCACACACAGATCTTCAGACTTAGCACTTTAGTTGTGCTTGGACATGGATTGGCCTCACGCAGGATCTCCTGAGATAGATAAGGATGTCCCACTACATACGCTAACTTAAACTTTATAACGCCTTCCAAGGCTTTTACATGCTTTAGCGCATCTTATTTATAAAACTAGAACTAGGGGTGATTCTGGTGACACAAGAAGTAGTTTGAATTATCTGTAGCCTGTATTTCCTAACACGTGATAAGCAAAACAAGATGAAAATACGTGTGCTTACCTGGAATTGATCACCAGTGGTTGTGAATTATAAAATGGTTCACGTTCTTTAATGACATTTGAAGAGTGGCGTGACATACGTCATTTCAGTGCAGCCAAAAGAAACAAGGGTGGTAGCGATGGACACGGGCCGGGAGCCGCGGGCGGGGGTGGCGCAGGTGCACCTGCTTCTTTCCACGTTCCCCCACGGGATCGGGGACCCCCAACTGGTCTGAGTGTGAGTGCCCAGCCCTCTCTGCACACAGGCAGCCTGGAAGGAGGGAGCTGTGAAGCGCTTCCCGTGGCAGATGGAAGACAGCTGGGGAAGCTGGTGGGGCACACCCTGACTTTGGGTGGGAAGCTTGCTCTCTGGAAAGGCCAGTGTCCCGGGATGAAGGCTGCAACAGAAGGCAGCTCCTGTGGAATGTCTCGGCAGTGCACAAACTCATCCAAGAATTTATGTAGAAAAATGTCCAAGGGAAGTGTGGAAAAGATAGCGTTTTTAAGCCACTGTAATCAAATTTTTATGGTATTGCATGAGAACAGACCAAGAGGTCAGTGGAAGAGAATAGATGGTGGGAAAAGTGTAGCTTATTTAGCAAATGGCATGAGCACGACTGGCTGTTCTTCTAGAAGAATAAAGTTGAATCCCTATCTTATAAAAATAGATGGATGGATTAAAGATTTAAGTGTAGTAAATAAGTAAAAATCCAAGAACAAAATTATGTCCATCTGAGGGGTGGGTGTGAGGTTGGCAAACCTGAAGGAGGACGGCCAGAGAGGGTGGAGAGGTAGTTCACAGACAAGGAGCCGGAATCTTGCCAAACTGGATGAGGTGAAGGCCGGTGAAAGTAGCACTAGATCGCCTTACACCCACTGTCCAAACACCTGATGGCGTGCAAGCCCGGGTCACGGGTCACGGGGAGAGGGCGGCAAGGGCAGCAAGGAGGGGAGGACAGCCGGGCGCCGCTGATGGGAGTGCAGGGCTGCAGGCTCCCGGGGGACATTCTGTGAACACCTATATGCACCCTTCAGCCCTGGGACCCTGGCCCGTGAAAAATGAAAGGGTCCACACTTAGGAGAATCTGCGTAAGTGCCTTCATTGTAGCATTTGCAATTCAAAAAAAAAAAAAAAGGAAAAAGGGGGAAAAAAAAAACCCCCGCATATTATGTGACCCTAATCAGCAGGTGGAAGTTTGAGTAAATTATGGCCAGTCCATATTCTGACATGTGCAACCACTTAGAATTAAGAGAGGCACCTGGCTGGCTCAGTCAGAAGAGGGTGCAGCTCTCGATCCTTGGGGTCGTGAGTTCGAGCCCCACATTGGGTGTAGAGATTCCTAAAAAAAAAAGAAAAAAAACTTTAAAAAATAAATCAATAAGTAAATAAATAAGGACACAGTTAAAAGAAAAAAAGAATTAGAGCCACACCAGTTCACACAGAAAGATTTCAGAAACAGATATGTTGAGTAAGAGGAGTTAAGGTGCCCTTAAGTCTGTACAGAAAGATTCCAGTTTTGAAAAATCAGCCATGAGCAGAAAGCTCCCCCCGTCTGCGTACACCTGTCAGTGGGGGTGTGTTTGCGCCACTGTCAACGTGGCACCTGTGTTCCCTCAGAGCCCCTGACCCCGCACGGGTCCTGCTGTGGGGGCGGCACGGCCGGCCGGTCCTCCTGCCGCCGGCCTGGTCTCAGGCACTCCGGCTGCTCTCCCAGAATCCCGTGCCCCGGTGGCTTCTCAGCAGCGGAGATTTACTGCTCACAGTTCTGGGGGCTGGAAGTCCCAGGTCCGGGTGCCGGCGGGCTGGGGTTCTGGTCAAGTAGTCGCTCCAGTTCCAAGCTTACACAGCTGTCTTCCTGCATGTACCTGTGTGTCGGTGCGTGCCTGGGAAGGGCCCTGCTGCCCACTGACCCGCGAGGTTCCCTTTCGCTGCCCACTGGTGAGGTGGGGGCAGGGCTGGAGAGGGATCTGCAGGGGGGACAGGCGCAAACACCCCCAGCCACCCCTGCCCGCCGCTCCCCCCAGCCCCGCATTGCTTGTGGCTCCGTGGCTGCTGTGTTCTCCCGTCCTGCGGACGCAGACCTCTCCCGCCCCCGCCCCCGCCTTCCAGTCCCGTGGCCTTTGCTGTGTACTCTGTTGCTGTTCTTCCTCCGTGGGGCACACGGACGGTGGTAGATGACCTCAAGGGTCGTGTACCCGGCGCGCCACGCGCCACCTAGTCTTCCCATTGCTCAGCTTTTAATGACGGCCTGCCGCCCTGTGTGATTAGTGCTGCTTGTCTGTTGGAGCGCTCTGTAAACACTGGCAAAGGCAACTGCTTTTGTGAAAGTGAAGGACAGACCCCAAACGCTGTCACGCCGAGGTATGCGCCCATTCACCTGCTGAGCGTTTTTCTGATCGGTTCATCTTGGTCTATTTAATCCTTAATTTTCCGTCAAACACCAGGTTGGGGAGTAAAACTCTCTGAAATATGAAAATATAGCGGTGTTGCTGAAATGCAGCATGTGGTGACGCAAGCATCCCCAGGACCCAGTACCAGAGCAGTATGGAGTCTTCCCTTGCTTCCGTGCAGCCTTTCAGCGGCCCAGAGCAGTGGAGATTGAGCTTCCAGGGGGAGGGGGCGGGCTGTGAGTGGGAGACCCCCTGCCCATGGCCGCCAGTCACCACGCCCTCCGCAAGGCCCGGGGAGGAGTGGTCTGCCAGCAGCTTGGCACCGGCGGCCCAGCTCCGAGTCCCGTCACTGCGGGACAAACCAGAACAGAAACGCTTTTCTGCTTGTTTCTGAAACAATCTTTTCTGTTTCTCACAACGGCTGCTCCCTAGGAATCTGACCTGATGGTAGAGGATGTGAAAACCACGTTTGGAGCAGGGGTCGGCAACCTCCTCCCCCCTTGCTCCCGTGTAAGGCCCTGCACATGGGGGTCCCTCTTTCTCGTCAGGCAGCACCCCCCACCGCCCCAGCCTGCCTACAGCATTCTTCGTGGGAGGTGAACAGGGAGGACAGTGAGGCGCAGGGTCTGGCCCAGGGAAAGGCTGACTTCTGCAGGCCAAGAGAAGGAACCAAGTATAGAACCAGGGGAATGGGGGAATGTGAGACTGCCCGCTGCATGCGGGAAGGAGGGGTTCGGCCTCAGTCTCCCAGTTCCCTGCCACATCCTGCTGGATGAGCCCAGAGCACGGGCAGGGGCAGAGGGGGCTCTGAGTAATCCAAGGAGGACGAGAGGAAAGTTATTTAGCAAAGACTTAACTGAGTTTGTAAAGCAGAGCCTTTAGCTAATTTTTAGGCAATGTTTGAGTTCTAGCAGAACGGCCAATGATGATGACAAAGCCACAGGACCACAGAGTGGCCGAGTCCCGTGTGCCATGCCAGGTCTCAGTGGTGTGTGTCCATGCAAAACCAGGAGGTGGCCGGCCCAGGCTGACCACAGCCTTGGCAAGGGCGGCCGCTTGGAGGTGATCGGCCTCTTTGGTGACTCCCTTCTGAAGAAACGGGTGCCAGCAAAGGATGGTTGTGGGAAGGACTCTGGCTGCCCCCCACCCGGTGCACCGAGGTGGAGCTCCTTGCCCACTGCCCTGTGTCCTGACCTGGGGGGGAATGCTCCTCCTGGGGCCAGCTTTCCTGGTGCCCCCCAGACCCCCTGCCTCTCTTAGGTGGCAGCTCAGTAAAGTATGCCCCTTTAGGGCCCCTGCTCCCCCTAAGGGCCATCTCCCTGACCTTGAGGGTGCCTCCTTTCTGCCCTCCCATCTGGAGGATTGCTTCCTCTGGGCCTCTTGCAGTGAAAAACCCAGAAAACGCACAGCAGGTGGCAGGGAGCCCCTGGGGAGGAGTGGGGAGACATGGGCCGAATGGCACACTGGCAGATGCATGGAGGTTCCCCCATAATAAGATGGGCCCCGGCCATCGTGTGGCACTTTTCTGGAAGTGGGGTTCCTCTTCCTCGGGAGCACCCTGCATCCCCTGTGCCCTGCACACGTCCCCTGTGACCGCTCGTCCAGCCCTTCCTGGCACCTCCAAGCCCCACTGCAACGGCCACCTTTCCTCACGGGGCGCCGCGTCCCGAGCACGGTGCTGACTCATGGTGTTCAGCATCGCCGATCCCAGGAAGTGTTCTGTGGGTGAGGAGGGGCCGCCCCGTCTGCAGGCGGACACAGTGAGGCCGGGTGGGAGCGGCTCTCTCAGGCTCCCACACCTGTCAGCCAGAGCGCTCCTGAGCCTTATGCTTCCCTTCCACCTGAGCGCCTCTGCCCCGGCCTGCCTGCTGGTAACGTGGACAACTTGGTGAGCTGGTGGCCTTGTGCCCCAGCTGTTTTGTTGTTTTATTGACGTATGATTTGCACACAGTAACATCCACAGATCTTAACTATCTAGCCTGGCAAATATTTACATGCCCGCCTGGGAAATCATCACTTAGGCTCAGGTCTGGCCCCCTTCCAGCTCCAGCTCCAGGATCTGTGTGCCATGTCTCCCATGGTTACCCTCCCGCAGGTAACCAAATCCCCACCAGTGCCACCGAGAGTTCGGGGCCTGTTCTCCAGTGTCGTAAGTGGAGTCCTGCCGCTTGCACCGTGTCAGGCTTCCTCTGTTGTGAGATTGGTCCTCATCATTGCGCGGACCTGCGGCTTGTTCTTGTGTTTTGCAGGGCAGTGTTTGGTTGTACACGTCTAGCACGATGGGTCCATTCTTCCACTGCGGGCAGGGGCTGCCAGGATGGCAGCAGGCACGTCCAGTCGTATGGCTGCTTTGGGGGCCCCGCGTAGGCCTGTGTTGGCTGTGTGTGTTCAGGGCTGGGCGCGGCCAGAGGCCCAACGAGCCTCAGTCCCTGCAGGGACGCAGTGGGTTCCTACAGACAGGCCGCCCCAGTGGGGCCTCACTCCCCCGCAGTGAGGTTGCCCTGCGTGGGCTTTCGGCCGCGAGCCTGCAGAGCCTCCCTGAGTGCGCTTTCTCCCTCTGGCCTCTGACGCCCGCGGATGTCCTAGGGCGAACTGCACGGGTACTGCACTACCCTGCACGAGGGGCAAGTCGAATTCAGCAGCTGGAGCCAGAAAGCCAGTGGCTCCTCGCACCACCAGCCAGCAGACAACGAGACGGACTGCAGCTGGGCGCCGTTTGGTGAGTTGTCCTCCTGTCCCCGCCCCCACCCCACGGGCGCGCTCGGGTCTGGGGTTCTGGCTCCTCCACGGCTGGGCGGCGGGCATGGACGGCACGGGCGCTGCCGGACTCCCGGCCTGGCCCGTCTGAGTTGCAGTAACCACCGTCTCGAGTGTGACTGCCCCTCTGGGGACAGCAGTCTCCTGTCAGCTGGCCCTCCCTCCACCGCAACTGCGTGTGCGGCACCTGCGTGCAGAGCCACTGCCACCTGGCAGATTCTCGTCCTGGGGGATCTGCGGAAGATCCCTTGTATTTTGTCTGTGTCGAAGCTGAAAGAGGATTTGCAGAGCATCAGCCGTGGGGGACGGCAGGGGGACCCCCCAGAGGCGTGGGGCGGGGGCTGGCCTGGGGCTGGCCTGGGGCCAATTGAGCGGTGGGGATTTCCTCTAATCCAAATGTTTGTTTAGTGAGTATTTGAAAATGTGGCGACTTTCTTTCCCTTTGTCAAGAAGCCACCCAGATGTTCTGCCAGGTCTTCTGCGCTGGAAACGGCCCCATTCTCTGTCCCAGTGCACTGCCCAACTGTACAGGGCTTGTGTGTGTGTTTTATCATCCTGCCCCAGAAGAGAAACCGGTGTTGAGTGAAAAGTAAACAGTACTCACCATCTCCTGTTGATTTTCATCCCGTGTAGACCAGGACAACTACCAGCAGCTGCTCGGGGCCCTGGATTACTCGTTTCTGTGCGCCTACGCCATTGGCATGTACCTGAGGTAGGTCTACTAGGGTTCTCTGTCCCTTGCTAGTTCTCGTCCCTTTGGTGCAGAACGTGTCTGCGGGTTGCTTCCCTTCCCATCTCTTCTCAGAGGTGAGGGCAAAGTGAAAGCCAGCATGCACGGGGTGCTCTGTTGGTCAAGGCACCGCAAAGCTGCCCATTTTAGATGTCCCAGGTATTATGCTGATCAGGGCAGACCGTCCAGGGTTGGCACTCAGGGCCCTGGGGTTTCAGATGCACCGTGAACCCTGCCTTGATGTCGTCACCAGGGACAGGGTGCTGGTGGCTCCCAGGGATGCTCTGCACGGTGCATCCTCTCCTCTGGTCTCTGGGGCTGCCATCTATTCACACGTCCCAGATCGCCAGCGTCAGAGCAGTTTGTACTGGCTGCCCAGCTCGGCCCCACAGAGCGCCCCACCGCCCTCCTTGTGCTTGGGGCATGGACCCCAGAGGCATGCTGTTGGGAATGAATCCCGACTCTAGCGCTGGCTCACACAACTTTGGGCAAGTTACTGCCCCTCTGTGGGCCTCAGTTCCCCCTTTGTGAAATGGGGAGAACAGTAGTTAACTCCTAGGATCATGGTGAGGACTGAATGAGCTAATACATGTACAATGCTCAGAACAGAGCCTGGCCCGTGGAGCGTTCCCAGCATCTTTGCATGTGGTCATTACCCCATTCTGAACTGACCTAGGAAGGTGGAAATGGTATGTGGGTAATAGGACATGTGATTGGCTGATTAAAAACTGGCATTGTGTCAGTCCAGCCAGGTTTAAAAAAACAAAAAATTGTAGGGACTAAGGCCCTTAGCTCAAGAGGCTTTTGTTCAGAGACTGAAAGATCTTCAAGAGCTTTGAGAATCTTGGGGATCCCTGTAAATGGTTAGCTTCTTCCCTGATATCCACCCAGAGTGTGGCATCATCTCGACCTGCCCCCCCACCCCCAGCTCAGGGCAGTTGGTGGGTGGTCGGTGCCCAGTCAGGCAGTTTCTGTTGATGGAGTGGATGTCCCTCCACTTTATTGTTTGCATAGCACTGCAGAACTTGTTTGAATGAACGAATGAATAAGGACAGATATGGAAGCCTGCTGTATGTGACGAAAAACAGAACACAGCCCAGCTGAGGAGAAGGCGATGTAAGCATTAGACTCCGTAGGGCAGGAGTTGCGACCAGGCGGCTGGCCATATCCCATCTTGAGGTCAAATATTTACACTCCAAAGACTGCAGTCTTACCGGCCACCAATAAGCTATAGTGTAAAAAGACCCAAAGGTTGGACTTGTGTTTTTCTCAGTTACTAGAAAATAGTATTTGCGTGTGGTTCTCAGCTGGGAGTGATCAATGTTCCCCTAGGCAACGCTGAGCGGGATCTGGAAGCATGGTTGGTTGTCACAGCAGGAGGGAGCGGTGCTTCTGGCGTCTAGCCGGCAGAGAGCAGGGCTACTGAGCATGATCCAGCACAGGGCAGCCCCTCACCACAGAGAATGACCCCATGCAACATATCAAGAGTGTTAAGGTTAAGAAGCCTTTAAATAAGGTGGTTTTATTGTTGTTGCTTATTGGTAATTTGTCACACAACCCGCTAATGAGGGTTATTACAAAATTCTGTCTGATGTAGAATCTGGAGCAGACTCGTGACTGTAACGAGGGCATGCACTGCTTCTTTGCGTGGCCTTTTAGTAACATCAGGGCACGTGGCTGGTGAAATGAATTGTATGTCAGGTAAATCGTCTACAGTGGGCGCCCTCATTAGCACAGGCCCTTCCTAGCAGGTGTGGCATGGCCCTTAGTCCTAGTCCCTGTATCAGTTGGATGTAATATGGAATGGCGTCCATTCCATTAGGCCTTTTCTTTAAAAACTTTGGAGTAGAGACTAAATTTGGGCCCAGTATTGTATAGCAAGACTGAGAACATTTGTCAGCCCTGGCCGATGGCACTAGCTCTGTCCTGTGACGTCAGGCAGGTCAGCCGGCCCCTCTGGGACACTTTTTCTCTTCTCTGAAGCCAGCAAGTTGAAATAGATCACTTGTTTGGCTCTAGAATGCTCTTGAGTTTGTTTGTGATCAGTTTCTACCCAACTTAAAATTTGACCTGAATGTTGTTCCTAATTTTAAATTACTTCCTCTGCTTTAATCATTTGCATGATGCTAGGTAGATATCCCTCTTTGGGGTCTTGAGAAGGAAAAGTTTCCTGATGTATTGGTTCTTGAGATGAAGGGCAGAATTTTGGAGATAGTTCCCTAAGTATTGCTCACAGGCATTACGTTTCTTATTTATTTTACTCCCGGAATGGTTATGTGGGAGGAAAGGAGATCCATAGTTTTCAATCCCTTGTAATTATTCTGGGGTTTGTTCACTTAATACGTGACAATGACAAGTAGCTCCACAGTGGCATTTCTCCCCCAGGCCGTCAGGCATCTACTTCCCATGGCATGAGGTGCTTTATTGAGCAGACAGCCATGGACCAGGCCCTTTGCCCATTTCGGTCTCATTTGAGCACCCAGTCAGCTCTGGGAAGGAATCATCCCATGAGGCCAGCTCATTATCGAGTGACATTGCTGGGAAAGGAGCATGGCGGCGTAGCCCCCTGTGTCAGACCTCACATGAAAGAAAATCCGCCTTCAAACCGGGTCATGGTGGTGGCAGGAGGAGGGCAGCTAATGGCATAGCCCATCTGGCCTGGTGTGTGAGCGCAGGTGACTTAGCCACAGCTCCGGGCTGAGAGCCTTTCCCGAGGCCACAAGTGAGCCCTTTTCATGACACGCGTCTACAGTCTGAACATCAGCATTTTTAAATACACATTTACTGGACGCTGTTTATATAAAAGCAGGATTAACTAGCGGAACAAGTTTTTGCTGTTTTGTTTTGTTTCTAAGATTTTATTTATCCATTCCAGAGAGAGAGAGCCGGAGGGGTGAGGGGTGGGGATCAAGCAGACTCCCCGCTGAGCACGGAGCCTGACACAGGGCTCGATCTCAGGACCCCGAGCTTATGAACTGAGCCGAAGCCAAGAGTCAGATGCTTACCGGACGGGGCCCCCAGGCACCCCGAGATTTTGGTGGTTTTAACTGGCAGCCGTCATATGCAAGTCACAGTGTTTGAGGTTTGGGACTTGACAGTTAGTGGCTCTTACTAGAAATAAAGTCTTAAAAGACGTTGCCGATGGCCAATTTCTGATTAAAGCACTCCGCTGGAGACAGTTGTGACGAAATCTTCCTGGAAACTGTAGTGCATTTGAGTTCTGCAAGCTCCGAGAAGAGCATGGAAACATCCAGAAAGATCACGGGCCCTCCACATCATGGGTGTGTCTGTCTTCTCATTTCTCGTGTTTGCTTCTTTTTCCTCTGTCCTCAGCGGCATCATAGGGGAGCGCCTGCCCATTCGGTATTACCTCACGTTTGGGATGCTAGCCAGCGGCGCTTTTACCGCCCTCTTCGGGTTAGGGTATTTCTACAATATCCACAGTTTCGGATTCTACGTGGTAACTCAGGTAAGGGCTGGGTCCGTGGCTGCCCGCGGCTGGGGTGTCCGTGACGAATCGGACTGGGCGTTTGTGCCTTGAGTCCCCGCCCCTGCCACGACAGGAAGCTTCGAGCTGGGGCCGCTCTGTGTCCTTTCTGCCGGCGGGGTCAGCGCTGCGGGAAACCTCCTCCCCTTTGCTCCGTCCTTGTAACCGCTGTGAGGCCTCCCCTGTCCCAGGAATTGTCTCTTAAAGAACCCCAGTCCCACCCCCATCAGCACCCCAGCAGGGGGACGGAAGCAGGAAGCCCGTGAGCCCTTCCACCTTCGCGTGGAAGACTTAGGGATGTTGTGTCCTGCGATGCACTTGACCTCATGTTGGGGGGATGCGAGGTGGTAGGAGGAGGGGAGGGCTCCGGAGTTGCCGGCAGGAGGATGGGGCTGCAGGCGGTCAGCGGGGAGGAAAGGAGAGAGCCTCACGGTGCTCTGAGGGGAGTAGAGGCCAGGGCAGGCCGCGTGGCTCTGCCCATCCAGCGGGGCCCCATCCTTGCTGCAGCCTTGCTCCGCCGCTCCCCCCGGCCCCGTGGGTAAGTACTGACTGCAGGTGGAAAGTGACTTGCAGTACTGCTGCTCAGCCTCTGAGGCTCTCTACATAGCCTGGGGGGTGCTGTAATATCATCAAAGCAGATTGTATGTAATTTGCTTTTTAAGATGTTGCCATAGGACTTTAAAAAGTTTGGGTGTTTTAATTACAACAGTGATTCACACTTTATAGTAAAAGGGGAAATTAGAGGGAAGGAGTGAACAGTTTCCCAGAGTCGCGGCGTATTCCTAGAGGGAGGGCAAGCCTGGCTGGCCCCGAGGCCAGACCCACAGCCCCCCGACTCCCGGAGGGCTGGCCAGCCCAGCGGCGGTGGGAGGGGGCACTCAGCTGGACCTGGTCTCCCATCTCGTCGTGAACTTGCCCTCAGCACTCCTGAGACTGCTCGCCCTTCCTGAGCCCCTTCTCAGAGCCTAAGCTCGGGGTAATCTCGGAAAGTGGAGAACTGCTTTCCCCGAGCACGGGGTCCAGCTTCCGCGCCTTTCAGAGGGTCAGGATACAAGGGGTGAAAGTGTGGTCTATGAGTTTCACTGTACGCACTCATGATTACACACACACGCACCTGTGTGTACTTTAACACACGTCTTTGGCTGTTGAGGCTCACATCAAAGAGTGTTTTGCTGCCTTCTTTTTGTGGGAGTCCCCACTGTGTTCCCAGACTTGCAAAGAACAGGGAGGAGTGAGCTTTTGTGAGCCTGGCCTAAAGGTGGGGCGCATGCACCCTTTTCGGCTGGCGGTGAGGCCTCTGTCCTGTCTGTCACAGATCATCAATGGACTGGTGCAGACGACCGGCTGGCCCAGCGTCGTCACCTGCCTCAGCAACTGGTTTGGAAAAGGAAGGTGAGCAAAGGTGGCCCCACTTCCAGCAGCATTTATCTTTTCAGATCCTGATGAACACCAGACCATCACCTTCTTTTTAGTTACTCTCTACATTTACTGCAGAAAAAGCCACTTTAACTAGTCCACTCTATGGGGGAAGGTGATTGAAACCTCTGGGACTTGGGGTGCTGAATTCAGGTGGGCCTTCCTCCTGGGAGACACAGCCCCCCACTGCCCCCACCGTGTTGCGGGCAGGTCGAACCTGTCATTTCACGCAGCTGACCAGCAGCTGGTCACCTGCAAGCCGGGGAGAAACACGGAGCTTAGGGCCTTGCCCCACATCTTCTGAAGCAGAAGCTACATCTTCCCAAGACTCGAAGGCACATGGAAGTGTGGCAAGTCCTGAGTAGGTCACCCAGCGCCCAGCGGCAGAGCCCCACTCAGCCTCTGGTGACGGGACCACAGTCCAGATCCCATTGTGATGTCCGTGTGACACACAGTGTGGCCAGACCCAAGGTTAGAAGTGCCTGAAGCCACTCAGCAAGACAGGGGAAGCAGAACGGGAGTCCAGCTCCGCGAGCCTTGTTTAGATTCTCTGCTTCGTTCATCTCGTGGGCTCTGTGAGTGGGATATTTCCTCAGATGATTGTGTTTAGATTATGGAGGCACAGATTTAAATCTGGGGTTTTCCAAGAAGTTCAGGGAAAGGCTTCTTTTCCTCTCTCTAAGCGTAGACTCACTAAGCTCTGAGAGAGGTGTGCAGTTATTCCGCTGAGGTAAGATATGAACGCTGTTCTCTTGTGCACGTCTCCAGCCCGCTACCTCCCGGGAGTGGCGTCCACACTCCCGCTGATTCCCGTGGTAACTCTCACATCCTGGGCCTCGTCAGTCCCACACCTACTGGCCCACTGAAGCTCCTCAACGTCATTTGCCATCTTGTGTTCTGTTGTGTTGCAGGCGAGGTTTGATTATGGGGGTCTGGAATTCCCACACATCCGTGGGCAACATTCTGGGCTCCTTGATTGCTGGCTACTGGGTGTCCACGTGCTGGGGCCTGTCCTTCATCGTTCCTGGGGTCATCGTGGCAGCCATGGGGATAGTGTGCTTTCTCTTTCTCATCGAGCGTAAGTACACTTGGCCTTGGAGGTGACGCCCTGGGAGGGCTTTGGAGGGCCAGCTGTTACGGGAAAGGGCTGTGTCAGTCCAGCGCAGGCCCGTGGTGGCCCTGGCTCTCTGCCTGGCCAGGTAGACTTCCCTCTTCAGGTGTAGACTTCTCCCGTGAGTAGTCTCTCCAGCTCTTGGGGGGTTTTCTGTTGTCTCCTGATTTCTGGAGTAACTGATGTGGAAATTCCTTGCCCCCTGCCCCCCGCTACCCCCGCAGCGTCGGGTGTGTGTGGTTGGCCTTGTGCTGGGAGTATCATATCTACCTGAGACCTGCCATGTCACTCACCTCTGTGGCTGCACCTGTTCACCCGTCTTGCTGCCACAAACTGGTCTCTCACCAGCTTGCTTGCCTTCTGATAAGATCTATCTGAGACAATACTGTGAAATCATTGCATGACTTAAGACCATATATCCTAATCGGCTGAAGAGGGCTTACCAAAAAATCAAATTCTTTGTTCCCTTCTAGACTCAGTACCAAACTTCTGATTTAATTGGGTTTGAAATTAATTTTCAAAACAGAGATCTGGCAGGACAAGGATTCCTCGCAATTAGTCCAGTGTTAGAAAAGCCAGCTTCGCTTTAGCTGTTGTGGGTCAGGGCGTCTGATCCCCCAAGCTCTTCTGAGGAGCTGTATTGGGCGCTTGCTTCTTCGACTTGGCTTAAAGCGAAATGAAACCATACGGTAGTTGACAGCTGCCTGCTGTTAACTCCGGCTCGGGAAGCTCAGGAGCTCCGCTACGCCATCCGTGCTGGGCGTCAAGTGTGGCTTCAGCTTTGCATCCCGAGCTGCCAGCTTCGTCCAGGACATTAAGGCGTGTTTTACTCAGCTTCTCACCTCTCTTTTCTCATTGCTAACGCTAACCTTTCCATTGTAAAGGAACTACTGTCTAACCGCACAGGTGTGCGGCTCCGGGCCGGCCTCTGTCAGTGAGGGCGGAGGCCATGGTCCGCTGAGGCCTCAGGTGCACCGCCACTGCAAGCAGGGAGGGGCGCCCACCGTGTCCCGCGGGGGCGAGCGTCTCCCCGCGGCCACAGCAGGTGAACTGTGAGACAGGTGGGGGTATCTGAGCCCGCTTACCAACATCACCAGCCTGTGGCACTTAACTGTGGAGTGAGTGTCAGAGTTCCGGGAAGGGTCCCCCGTGTCACCTGTTCTCCGGGCTGGCTCTCTAGCCCGCGGAGCTCTGTCACGGGGCGCTCCAGCCTGTTCCTTACGCATTAGTCACCCGGAGAACAATGTGCTGACGCACAGGGCCCCCCGGGTGTGTCCAGCCCGAGGTCTAGAGTCCACGGTCCCTTTTCTTCTCTTCCTCAACCGATGAAGGGTTGGTTCTGGGGGAAAAAGGAAATGCGATAAGGAATGGGGTGTGTGGCAGGAGATGTGAGCGGGTTTGCCGGCCGGCCCGGATCTTAGCACCCGTACCCGTTCAGCCCGGTTCTCCCAGGCGGGGCCTCGTCCTCCGCTCAGGGCAGGGCTCCCAAGAACAAGGAAGTTGTGGTTTGCCTTTTGTAATAAAATGAGAGCCTCCTTCCCATCGAGCCTCCCCTCCTGTGGCTTCCGAGGGGGTGGGACAGGGTGGAGGGGGTCCCCCCGGGGCTCTCCTGGAGCCTCCTTCCCCCTACTTCTTGTTGGGGCCTCCCGCTCCATCCGGGGGTTGGCCTGTGGCCCCATCCTGTTCCTGCAGTGCCCCTGGAGTGCTGCTTCTCTCCGCCCTGGCCTGCTGGGGGACAGAAGCGCAAGCCCTCAGCTTCCCCAGGCCCACCAAGCCTTGAGGCCAGGGGACCGTGCCTGCAAGGCTGTCCCGGGAGGCTTGCTGCTACTGGCACGGGGGCTGGGGGCTCGTGGGCACCTGGCCCTGGCATTTCTCTGCCTTCCCACCAGATGTCTTCTTTCTGGGCCCCATCTTCTCTGTGGGCTCCCATTGGGTGTTGGCATCTACCCTCTTGTATTAAAATCCGAGGTTTACTTTGTTATTTGCACTGGAGTTAAGACATCTTGCAGACTCTCCTAGTAATCTGTGAACACGTGCCCTGTGGCCCTTCTTCCGCATCATCAGGAGAACATTCTCAGGGGAGAGGCGGCCACCATGTAGCACGCGCTCCCTGTGTCCCAGGCATGATGCCAGGCTCAGTGCAGGTATTATTTCACGGATTTCCAGGGGAAGGTCTTGAGGCTCAGGGGCCGTAGGTGACCTGCCCAAGGTCACACAGTACGTGGTGAAGTTGTGGTGTAACCAGGTGCCTGCTCACCCATTCAGACTTTCCCATACTTTGGCCATGGATCCTTAGGTCCTTAGGATGTGTTCTTATGGTGCTCGCTTCGGCAGCACATATACTAAAAACAGGATGTGTTCTTATGGATTCAATTTAAAAAATGTTTTTCACTTAGATGATAATTTAAAAAAAACAAACTTTGTGTATTATAAACACTGCCTTTTCTCATAGAGACAATACGCGTTTGAAAGACATTTTCTTGCAGTGGGGAGTGTAGATTCTTCTGAAGTCTGTTTCTCAAACCTGGGTTCCCGAGAACCCAGGGGGTTGAACGTTATTCTCTGGGACCGTGGGAACTCTTTTCTTAAAAAGCATCTGAGAAATACCACACTTCTCAGCCGCCATCATTCCACTATGTGAGCCTCTCCCTGCCGACTAAATGCACGACTGGCCATTGCTCGTGGGACATGCGCTGGCCCTAACCGCAGCCCCTCTTCACTCCCTCGCTGTGTGCCGCAGCCCCCACTCCTCCTCGCCTGCCCTCCCACCCTCCTTTCCCTGCAGGCCCGAGCATCTGTGCGAGAAGAGGTGGATGCGCCCCTGGTGTTCCAGGCGCTTCTCTTTCCTGCCCCTGATGAGGCCCCCCGACAGGAGCCGTGAGGAGGTCAACGGGGCTCGCGGCCCCCATCGCTCTGGCGTGCAGACCAGACCATACCTCTCAGCGGGGGGACCTCATCACCGCAGTACAGCCCCTGACCCGCCACATAGGCCCGTCTGCTCAGATGTGGCCTGTCTGGGGCAGCGCCCTTCCCCCACCATGCACCCCCCCCCCCCCCCCCC